CTTTGGGAGGCTAAGGTGAGTGGATTGCCTGAGCCTGCGGGTTCGAGACCCGCCTGGGCAACTTGGCGAGACCTCATCTCTACAATAAATCAAAAAATCAGCCGGGTGTGGTAGCACATGCCTGTAATTCCAGCTACAGGGAAGGCTGAGGCGGAAGGATCGCCGGGGCCCAGCAGGTCGAGGCTGCGGTCGCCAGGAGCGGCCACTGCACTCCGGTCTGGGAGATAGAGTGAGACTCCAACTCAAAAAAAAAAAAGGCAGCATGGGACAACGGAAAAAGAACACATTTTGGAATCAGGCTGATTCAAATTCTGGCTGTGAGATTTATTTAGCTCTGCGATCTAGGCAAGCTACCTCATCTGTGATTCTGTCTTATGTGTAAAAGAAGGGTGTTGAGAAAATTACCTGAGAGAGAGAGAGAGTGTGTAGTATGTGTGTGTAGTGTGTGTGTGTGTGTGTATAAAGGGTTTGACAAAAGTAGGAGTTAGGTAAATACAAATCCCTTATTTACCCTTGGGAAATCTTCAACTTATACAACTTCTTGATCCGTGGTATATTAATCCAAAAGCATTATGAGTCTGCTTTTTTTTTTTGAGGGAAGAACTTAATATTTGTACATGGAAAATACAAAGCTCTGAAACTAAAGATTTTCATATCAATTAGCAATCTCAAATTAATTTTTAAATATATGAGCTAAGGACAGTCTAAAGCAAACAATAAGAAATTAATAAATACAAATATTTCCCATTCAAAAAGTATCTCCTGAGCTCTCACCATACAACAGGACTGTTGTACATGCTTGAACTATAGGAATCAGATGAAGCCCCAGATCTCCCAGAATTTATATTAGTCATAAAACAAACTAGCACTAGAGAAAGGAAAGGAGTGTGATCTCACAGCCTCGTCTAAAATAAGAACAACTTAGAGCAAAATGTATTTTACTTTTTGAGATTTTTTTTTTTTTTTTTGAATTGGAGTCCCACTCTGTCGCCCAGGCTGGAGTGCAATGTGGCATGCTCACGGCCACTCCAGCATCAACCTGCTGGGCTCCAGCGATCCTTCCACTTCAGCCTTCCAAGTAGCTGGAACTACAGGTGCGTGCTACCACATCTGGTTAATTTTTGATTTATCATCGAGACGAGGTCTCACCAAGTTGCCCTGGCTGGTCTCGAGCCTGCGGGCTCAGGCAATCCACTTGCCTTGGCCTCCCAAAGTGGTAGGATTACAGGTTGAGGCACCAAGCCCAGTCTTACTTTTTCTAGAGATTTTTAAGCAATATTCTGTGGGCTCGTGAACCCCTAGATTAAGAATCCCTTTGGATATCACAAACTTGTATTTTAAAACTTGGTAAAATGTCAATACCGCTTGCAGTAAGAAGACGAAACACATTTTAAAAAGTCAAACTAAAAGACAACTTAAGAAGATTCCCCTAGTAGCCTTTCTGAATATATTTAAAATTATTTAATTTCTGACTTAAATTCAACCCAGCTTTCTGAAATATCTTTATTTAAAAGATGTTTTAAATATTTAAAAATGAATCAATCCTTAATTTTTATTTTCATTTGTTGAGATGGGGTCTTGCTCTATCACCCAGGCTTGAGTGCAGTGGTGCAATCATAGCTCATTGTAATCTTGAACTCCTAGGCTCAAGCAATCCCACCTCAGCCTCCTGAGTAGCTGGGACTATAGGTGTGCACCACCACACATAGTTAATTTTTTTTCTAGGGACAGTGTCTCACTATGTTGGCTAGGTTGGTCTTGACCTCCTGGCTTCAAGAAATCTTCCCATCTCAACCTTCCCAAGTACTGGAATTACAGATACATGCCACCGCGCCCAGTCTGATTCTCTATTTCTAATGGTACTACTTATAAGCACTTATAAAAGAGCAGTCAACTCTATTTCTAATAAACAGCAGACATGTCAGAAGTCTAAAAATCTATGATTAAACTCTGACTAACCTTTTTTTAACACGTAAACAAAAATTGTTGTTTAAAAAGCTTAATTTTTATAATACCTTCCAACCTTCTTTTCTTCTGTAACTCTATTATGTTTTCATCTTTCCCACCCCACAAGTTAACTCTCAGCTGCTGCCACTGTACCTCCTGGCAACACGTTCCACACGGGGGGAGATCTTATAATGTCAAGAAGCATATATTCAGCACATCTGTGCTGAACTTTTTGCTACAGTGGGTCAAGTTAAGAATTTAATTAAATGTCTATATTTTCCTCATTCTTTCTGCTTTCTTTAGTAATTTTTGCACATTTCTGTTACTTGTGATTATGGTTCAAGAGTTTTCTAAGGTAGTGATTATTCTGAAGGGTAGGGTAATGTTTTCATTTAGAACTCTGGGTTGCAAAGTCAGTGTTTATAATAAATGAGGAAGTTCCTCTAATCCATGTATCTATCTACTAATAATGAGTTTACACTTACCATTTAACCTGCAACTATTTTTTTGTGTCTGTTTTGTTTTGTTTTTTAGTTGGAGTCTCACTCTGTTGCCCAGGCTGGAGTGCAGTGGCACGCTCACAGCCACTGTAGCCTCGAACTGCTGGGCTCACGATCCTTCTATCTCAGCCTTCCAAGTAGGTGGAACTACATGCCACCATGCCCCGCTTATTTTTTTATTTACTGTAGAGACGAGGTCTCACCATGTTGCCAGGCTGGTCTCGAACCCATGGGTTCAGGTAATCCTCTCACCTTAGCCTCCCAAAGTGCTGGGATTACAGACATGAGCCACTGCGCCCCGCTGGTCTGCACTATTTTACAACTTCTTTGACTTCCAGCACCTCTTTAATACTGCAATTGTTTATAACAGGTTAAAATGTCACAGATTCTCCTTTGCATCTATCATACTTATGCTCCAAACACATGGTGGCTCCTCACCCTGAAATAAAGTCTGAAAGGCCAGTTTCTTAGCAAATACTTCTGAAATCTAAATTCTTATTTTTCACCACAGCAGTTCTGTTTTAGCCAAAAAAGATGTCCTTTCTTTCAAAGATATCTTTACACAGTACATTGTGTTTCATCTGTTGATGTTAAAATAATCTTATGTAGAGATAATTAAGTATACATAGCCTAAGTTTATATAGCCATATAGTAATCTCATTTAAGGCAAGGTTCATTTATTGAGCATTTCTCCTCTGTTTCATAGTTCTATTGCCTATATATTTCTGTTTATGCAGCTACTGTGTATAATTATTTCCTCTTTAAAATTTTTTTTAAAGTCATCTTTGGCATGTGTTCAACAGAAATTTAAGGTTATTAAACATCTGCAAAATCTTGTTTAAAAATTGTGTATTTATTCTTACGTGTTTAAACTTCAGTCACCTTCAAAGTACTCGTTTGATATAATACACCTATCGAGATACTTTTTCCACTGCTCAAAAGTTTTTGAACTCGTCAATTTTGATGCCTTTTAGTGCTTCTAACGTTTTTTGTTTCACCTCTTCCACACTGGTAAAATGTTTCCCTGTGAGGACTTCTTTCATGCAGGAAACAAAGACAAGTCACTCAGGGAGAGATCAGGTGAATAGGGAGGGTGGGGCATGGGGGGGGTCATACTATTTTTGGTCAAAAACTGCAGAATGCTCAGCACAGTGTGGGCAGGTATGCTCGTAAATCACCCATCATGAAACGGGCAAATGTGCTGAAAGAATCTCAAAAAATAAATAAATGAATAACTGAAGCCTAATGCAGCCTCTCACAATGACGCCAGCGGGTACACTGAAGCTGATGGACTCCTAGAACTAAGACTTACCTAGCAGGGAAAGCCTGTACTATACAAGAGGCCCATCCTCCAAAAGATATTTCTGGATTTTCTGGGTCCCTCCTTGTGTATTTTAAAATTACACATGGGAGTTGCATTTTGAAATACTTTATGGCTTATAATGAATCAGTAACTGTCTTCTGAGGGCTTGCTTTCTCTAACCAAGTGGTAGATGCCTGGTAGATGCCATATGGAACCTACAATCTAGCAGAAGAGGTAAGATTCTCTTCTCTTCATCTCTCAAATTATCGCCATCTTTTTAGTGGTGTCAACATTCTATACTCATTTGTTTGACTAATTGTTCTCTGAGTCATGCCTGTAATTCCGGCTACTCAGAAGGCTGAGGCGGAAGGATCGCCGGAGCCCAGCAGGCCGAGGCTGCGGTGGCCAGGAGCGGCCGCTGCACTCCAGTCTGGGCGACAGAGTGAGACTCCAACTCAAAGAAAAAGAAAAAAATAAATAAATAAAAATTAAGTTACCTATTTTCAGATGTCCAAAAAGTGGAAAACCATATGAGAAAATACTTATTTGAACTGCTGTCTTTGAAACTGAGTGCAATTACAAAAAGAAAAAAAAGAGACACAGGTTTGTCTCCCGGTACTAGTACTAAAAGAAAACGAAAAACACTATGTAGAGGAGAGTTAGCAGCTTATCAACATTTCTAAGGTTAGTATAACAAAAAGTAAGCCATCAGAGTCTTGCTCTGAAGCAGCACAGCAGGGTACAACAAAAATGGTTCTCAGTTCAACACTCATATACCCATAACACAACCATAACATCCGAAAGAAATTATCCTCAGGTATTCCAACCGGGCATACAGGGGCACTGAAAGGTCTGGTCATTAAAATAATAACTCACTCACTATCACTAACTTCTGGTGATGGTAGCAGCCTGCTGGAGGAGAAATTGAGACATTTAAAAGCACATTCTTGCTTCAAAGTTAAGGCTTAAGGGAGAAGAAGGAAAAGCAGACACACAGAGAGGAAATAAAGACAGCCTAAACAAGAAGGTTATTTGATGCTCAGAGAGTGATAACAAATATCTACAAAACCCAATTCTGTCTCTGCCTGCATTTCAACACATTTCCTACATTTTAACTGACACCTTAAAATGAAAAGCAGTAGTAATTTATTATAGATTATAATTATAGACTTCATTATGTAAATATATTCATATCTAGTATTTGCATCGTAAAATTACTTCAAATGCTTAGAAAATAAAATAAAACTTACCCCATCACTTTCTCTATGTGGATTCAGTCTACTATAAACAGCTTCAATAACATTGCGCCTAAAAAAAAGTATGCTTCAGTTTTATTGAATTACATACAATTTTAAGCTTGTATTTCAATACTTCATCTTGACTTCACTAAAAAACTAACTGCTTCACTCAATACTTGCCAAGAACATAGTTTCTACATTTCACGCTCAGAATCTGATCTTGCACAGTCCATTTGTTCTCATTTAGCAAGGAAAGAATGATCTTCATCCTCAAAGAGTATGACAAATAATTCCTTTTAAAAAAATCTTTTTTGGATGACGTTTTATAGTCTTTTTTTAGCGTAAGAAACAACCCATTTCACCTCTAGATAATTGATATACTTCTGATTTAAGTTTTCTTACCCCAAATTATTTAATTACTAATTATAAATGAACTTAAAATTAGCTCTTTTTGTTCTACTTACTTGCCAGCAAGACCTCCCCCAGGAGGCAAATTTGGGATATTTTCTGCAGACAAGATGCGCATGACATGGGCAAGATCAGGCATTCCTTCCTCACCAGACTTCTCCATAATCTCTGTAGATTTTTAAAAAAAGTTCCTAAATTAATGTGATAACCCAGTACTCAGAAGTGAAATGAGGCACTATTTGGTAGTACCTGTTTTAAAATACAAGAAACAAACAATGTCATCAAACATGCAGGAATGAAAATGGTAATATAAAAAGTTATTTACTGACCAAGCGTTATTATGCAGGGGAGATAAAAAATTATTTGCATACATATGCTAATTCAAGCAATAGTCATAAAAGCAAAAACTGGAACAAACTAAATGTCCAAAAATAAGGGGACATTTAAGAAAATGTTGGTATAGCCTCTGAGTGAAATCATCTATAATCACTATAAGAGGTAAAATTTTTTTAAAGTGATTTACAAGGAAAAGTTCTTTTGAACTGATATACAAGTTATTAATACCATAATTATAGAAAAACAAAAGCAATGGCTAAATAAAAATATAATGAAGGGGGAAATTAAAAATCATTTTTATAGGCTGATAGCTGGTAATGCTCTATAACCATTATTTTTTTAAAAAGGAAAAGAAATCACAGCACAATGCGTAGAAAAAACAAAAAATTTACACTTTTCATTTCTATTATTTGGACACTGACAAGGTTTGAACTCAAAGATCAACTGATGACAACTCACTTTTAAGACAAAAAAGCACTGTCTTCAGTCGCCCTCAAGATACAAAATCTAAACTATTTACCATGCCTCATAAGATCCTTGCCTAGACCTTAATTTCACTACAAACTCTTTCAGACCTGCCCCGACTCCCTCATCTTCAAAGGATCTAGTCAAAACAGGCTTCTTCTGACTCTAGATCATCAAGGTACTCTTTCTTTGGTGTAGAACACTTTTTATGTCAATCCAACCAACTTGTTTGGGTGGTGAACACCTATTTTCATTCTTCAGATTTCAACTTTATGTTTCACTCTCTCAAATCCTTCTCTGACCTAAGCCTAGAGTAGGTACGCTGCTGTATTTGCTCATATACAGGACATATACTATATTACACATATATACCATATTGCTATATACTCCCACATATACAATGTCTACTATACCATAGACTGTAAGCATAAAAGCAGAATTATACATTTTCTACCTTAGTCCTGTGTCTCTCTAGCACATGGCTTCTCAACTTCACCAATACTGATATTTTAGATCATTTGTTGTTGTTGTTGGGACTGTCCTGTTCTGTGCACCACAGGATGTTAAGCAGCATCTCTGGCCTCTACTCAGTAGATGCCAGTGTACCCCTCAGTTGTGACACCAAAAATATCTCCAGACATTGCCACATGTCCCCTGGGGACATACTCTCCCCCGAATGACTGGAACTACTACAGTCTAGCACATTACCAACCAATTTTCACACCCCTCCACTAGTGCCATTCCAGTCCAATTCACCATCATCATCTGCCATCTGCATTAAATGATTTCTAATTGGTATGTTGGCTTCTGCTTGTGTCCCCTCTTTATAATCTCTTCTCACCGTAACTAAGACGGATCCTTTGAAAAAAAGTCAGAGAAAGTCAGCCATGTGCTCAAAATTTTCCACCGAATTCCCATCACAATCTGAATACAGTCCAAAGTCCTCATTTTGGTCTACAGAATCCTGTGTGATATGCTTCCTAGCAACCTCTGTTACTGTTCCACTTTTCTACTGGCTCCCTCTAACGCAGTCACACTCGCTGAGCACTTTCCCTCCTCAGTTTCACTGTTCTCTACGCCTGGAATTCTCTTTCCTAGATACCCACTCTCTCCATATGCAGGTCTCTGCTCAAATATCCTGCCTCCTGGTATCTTCCTACCAATATTCCCAGTTGCTGTTTATCTTACTTTTTTCTATTAAAAAATCTACATTATCAAATCAGCTTATTTTCTATGTATAAAGCCAATAGCTGTTGGTTCTGAAAAATCACCAAAGAAATACACTTTCCTAGTGGGGTAGGTTTTGGTTTGGGTATTTTTGTTTTTGTTTTATAGTGGACCACTGAATTTTGGAATCTTGGCTCTTGTTACATACCAAATGAGCCAGCTTCTTGAGGAGCTTTCACATGTTAAATGTGCCTACACTAGAGTGATGGTCACTTAGGATATTATAGAAATGTGGATAATAACTACCAGCAAGCTACTTGAGGCACAAGGGGAAAATATAATAAATAAATGAAATTCTCGGTCTCTACTAGAATATAAACTCCATGAGACTGGTTTTGCTTTTTGTTAGACCCTCGGTGACTCACTTCTTCAACAAACACTGAATAAGCAAATATATGTAGGAAGCACTCACTATATAGCTAATTAATCAATTTAGGTGAAATACTGTTCCTTTTTTATTTTTAACATTATACCTTTCCCACCTGACCACTCACCACTAAAAGGACATATGCAGCCTTACCCAATACACCAGAATGCCTCACCTCAACATTTGATGTCATGTTACATGATTCAAAACTCCAACAGAAATACAAGGCTCCTGGAGAACACTGCCTTATAAATGAAATTTACATCTTAAGTACCAATTTAAATTAATTTGTTGTGGCTGCCTTGCCAACAATTTAAAGTCTTCTGATTAAGTGATTATAATCAAGTATTTGCTATAGGCTCCAGAGATCATGATACTACACATTTGTCATCTCTGCTGTATAACATATACTTTGGAAGCTTACAAACTATGCAAGAGAAAATTAATATTAAATATTAACAGCTCGACGACTCATGCTGAGTTGAACTGACCATAACTTTAAAGAAATTAAAATTTAGCTATTACAGAAGTTAAGAGTGGTTAAAAACTACAGTGTGCTGAGGCATTATGTGCTGGGCATCATTATTTTGACAAAGACTCTTGCCTTGGATCAAAACTGTCCTAAGACTCTTGAGTTTTTTCTGATGAGATGATCTTGGGACTCCCTCTCTGCCCTTGTAGAATCCAGTCTGAGCAAGTATACTGCCAAAGTCAGTTTACTGTAAAACACCATGCTTGATATCTGATCACCCAAGATATTTTACCACCCTGACCTGTCATCAGAAATAAGCCTATGAAGGCAGTTTGGCCAGAAACCCCTTATCTTGATGTTTTCTCTTAGTAATTTTCCTTCCACTGACCTTCCTAACCTCTGCCCACTCCTTGAATATAAATTCCCACTTACTCTTGCTGGAGTCTAAGTTGAGTTCAATCTCTTTCTGCTACTGCAAGACCCACTGTAGGAATCCCTCTATTACCATGACACCCTGTTGGGAGCCATTTTAAAAATAGCAATCATCTCATATAAGCCTTCTTCTTTGTCCTCCGAAAAGCCCGCGCGCGCCAAACCACAACACCCCTCCCACCTCCTCTCCTCATACCACCCACTACTCTTCCTCCTATCATAAGCCGCCACACGCCCTATTTCAGCCCGCCCCTCTTTGCTATGTATATAAGCAATCGCCTAACAATAAAATTTGGAGGCTTGATCAGAACACTGTCTTGCCTCCATTCTGCGTGTCTCCTGTCTCTTTCTCTCTCTTGGTCTCTCTCTCTCTCTTTTCACCAGCAGCAGGTAGTCCTCCTCGTGCCCACGTTTTACTTGTCCCGCTGGTCGGGACACCTGGCGCCCAACGTGGGGCTCGAGGCACGGAACGGCGCTGCTGGCACCTACTCGGATGACGCCCCGGCCGGGCACACCCTGAGCTCCTGAGCTCGCTTCGAGCCCGTGGGTGATCAACCCGCGGGATAAGACTCGATCTTGATCGTCGCTGGACTAGCCGCCCCAGCGGACATCGGAACGGTGAGTAGGTGATTATCATGGGACAGGAATTGAGCTCTCACGAGCTCTTCCTTAGGGGACTTAAGGATTCCCTCAAGATGCGCAGAATTAAGGCTAAAAAGAAAAGATCTACGCAGTTTTTTCAATTTCTTGACTGATGTATGTCCCTGGTTCCCTCAAGAGGGCACCATTGATCATAAATGCTGGAAACGGGTTGGTGACTGTCTCAATGATTACTATCGTACCTTTGGCCCTAGCAAGGTCCCCGTGCCTACCTTTTCCTACTGGAATTTAATTAATGACATTTTAGAAACCCATTCTCAGGACCCAGATATCAAAGACGTAATACAAACGGGGGAGACAGCCCTTAAGGACAGTTCTCGCCCCCCCTCAGTTTGCCCCTCTGTTGCCATAGGCATGCCGGAGGAAATTAGCGGCCCTGATACTGACCCCCCTAAAGAGACTCGTAAAACAGCTCCGAAATTCTTACCCCTCCTTAACTTCCTTCCCCCCTCATAACGATCAACTATCCCCCGAGGACCAAGAAGCCTTAGACGAGCAGGCAGCTCATTATCATGATGGCGATGACCCCTGGCGGCTTACTGCGCCGGTTTTTCATCCGCCGCCCTCTGCTCCCCACCAACCCCCCCCTTATCCCCCCCCCCAACCACTTCCTCCTTTTGAGGGCCCCCCA